CTACTGTTTCTGAAAAAAATGTATTTATGAACAAAGATAATGAGTTACATTAAAAAATCTGGACCCAGAATTTTATTTATTTAATGGTGAGTCTTCTCCGTGCCATTTTAAGGCTTGGGAGATCCAGATTCTTCTCATCAATTCCTGGTCCTTCTCCTTACTTTGTTTTTGCTTTTTAGATAATGTTACCTGATGCAGAGAATCGGAGATTTTGAAAGCTTGCCACAAATAGGTTGTTTATGATTGCTAAATAATTTCAGGAATTATTGGAACATTATTGTCATTTTTTTCTCCAACAGATATATGGTTTTTATAATCTCTCTATTATAACAATTTAAATAATCTTTTAATTTAAAACTTTAAGCATAATTCCTCAAGCATGATCTAAACATGTATTTTTAAGGGATATATCAACTGGCTGATCAGTTTGTCAGAAATACACAAATACACACACACAAACATTGCCTTAGCAATTTACATCATTTTCAAGTGAAAGCAAAATTTCCACACTTTCCAAGTGATGTAAGAAAACAAGCTACTGAAAGTTTCCTTACTTTTTGATGATCTTCTAGGGTGATTATATTTGGGCTGCAAAAATTGAGTGCTCTACTAGATGGCTGTCAAACAATAGAGGAACCTCTTTGCTGCTAACTAATGGTTGTTAAGAAGGTTCAAATGCTAGGAAAGAAGGAAGGAAAGAGAAGAGGATATAATCAGCAGTTTGATTCAGTTAGTGTGGCAATGACTGCATCTTTTGGAGACCTGAAAGATCAGTTAGAGAGAGAGATCATGATAGAGAAAATCACTAGGAGTCAAAAATAATGGCACAGAATCAATCAATCCTTATCTTGCTTATAGCATCCCATCAGACTAGTGGAATGAAAAACTAAACAATCTAGGGCAACAAAATGGAAGCTCTTAAATTCCTACAATCTATACCCTAAATGTAGAATTATTGTTCATTGTTGTTCCTTAAATAGCATAGTACTGGCTTATTTGTATTTAAGTGTGCTGGAGCATAACTATGAAATATTAATTTATTTAAAATAAGCTTCCACTTCATTAAACAACTGAAGTTACTAAAAGTGCTGATAGGCAAAGAATATATGGTAAAAGACATTTAACATAGATAGTGCAAAGAATTGCTTTGTTAATTATGTACAAAAGTTAAAACTCAGGTTAGACTGGTTTCCATTGTGCATGCTATAGTCAAAAAGTTTCAAAAGAATTGCAAAAGAAATGAGCAAATAAAACAATTGCAGACCGTTATATCTAAAGCAAACACAAAATGATATTTTTTTAAAAGTGCAAAAAAGTTTGTAAAAAATAAGTAACTGTAAAACTGAATGTAATCTTCCATTAATTTACAGTAATGTGAGATCTGAAAATCTACTGCCTTAATGGCCATGCTTTTGGAAGTATCCAGTAACTTTTTCCCCTTACAGCAAGCAGAACAAATCACCTAACTTCCCCCAACCCTACAAGCTATACTTAAAATACCCCAGGAGTGGAATACAAGTTCAAAGAGGTAACCGTTCCCTCAGGGCACATGAGTCACATTTAGCTAATCCCAGCTAGCATGCAGTACTATGTCAGATTTAAATGAACTAGAAACATTTCTAGAAATAACTAGAAAAAGCACATCATCTTCTCCACACCAAGTTATAAAACATATGACATGCATTTCCGTTCCACTGTGTCAGAGATTTGTAAAAAGATACGTATTTCTCATCTGATAGAAAGAACTGTACTTATTTTTCAGTTACAATATACCAGTGAAATTAATATTTATAATATGCCCTCTGTTATCACATCATGGCAATAACAAATCTGGGCCCTCCTTTAAAAACAACCAGCCTACCCTTTCCATTTCACTGCTAGAATATCTTCCATTGTATCAGAAAAGATATAAGAATGACCCACAAGCAAGAGCCATTTATGTCTGCAAAAGAATAAGACCTTGGAAGTAGAATATAATTGTTATATTCTTAGTTGGTACTTGATACTTAGTCTGACAATTTTATGTTCAGTGGAAGCTTTCCTAGGGATATTTCTCCTTTCCCAATTCTTTCTCACAACAAAAACCTTCCTTGTGGAATGTGTGGAATCAACAACTTGCAGATTGTTTTGTCTGCAGTGAATGCAAAACTAAAAGCCAACTGGCAAGAAATAAGCTCAAGGGATAGGCAAGCCAGGAGTGCAGCCCTTCTTAAAAGTGCTTTCAATACTCAGAAATATTTACAGAGATACATTTTCTGCCATTATTTACAATTTGACCTATATTTCAGTGGAAACCAGCTTTTTACTGTCTTAGATACAAAACCTTGATTATTATTGTGCTACCTTCATGTGGACTTTGAGGCAAATTTCTATTTCTAATATTTCATTTATAAGTGGTTTTTCCCATCCTTCTCTCTTCCCAGCCTTTGAAAAGGGCTATTTTCTTCTCTAACCTGCTTTCTTTTCTTTCCAGATTCCTCTGCCTAGTCCCCTGGAAGTTTTTTTTAAAACTTATCTTGTGTTATTATGATTATTATTTCTAATTTGTTTCTGTTGTCTTGTTGATCACAATCCTACGTTCATTGACAAGAGTTATAACTGCAAGATGGGCAATTATATAAATTGAAGTAACGAATAAAAAACTTTTTATATTGCTGCATTCAGCTTTCCCCTTCTCTCCCCACCATGAATGATGTATATGGCCATTCAATTTGCAAATAGAAACTCTGGACTGCTGACAAAGAGTTAAAAGCATAAAAACAAAACAAACAAATAAGAACAATATAGCACAACAATACAATACAGCTAAGCCAAAAACATATTATAATTTCAAAACCATTAGCGGACTGGTTCATCCAACACTCTGGATCAATGCTCAAGGGAACACACAGAAGGAGGGGTCTGGTTTGGCCTAACAGAAAGCCAACAGATCTGGGGTGAGGGATGCTGTTCCAAATGGCAGGTTCTAATCTTCATGATTAACATTTATTTCTCTTTCACTGGACAAAAACAATAGAGAGCTATGGAAGATTTTTTTGTTTGTGAGTGCAGGCTTCCAAATGATTGACGGTCTGGTGGAATCATCTCTTAAAGCATGAATAAAGCATAAAGCATGAATAGAAGAGATGATTCCACCAGACTGTCAATCATTTGTAAGCCTGCACTCACAAACAAAAAAATCTCCACACCACTAGCCAGGCAAACACCTGGGCACAAACAGATCCCCCCTGATACCTCCAGCTCAAACACACCCCAACCAGGCACCCAGATGAAACCTAGCTTCCTAACAAATGATAGCTGTCCATTTACCCGGAGCCAAGCTGCACTAAAGGCCTCCAATACAGGAACACAATGTTGCCAGCCAATCAAAACACAAAAAGAGCCACAAAACAGACAGAAGATATTTGAAACACCAATCAAGCAGAACACAGCAAACTCCAAGACCAGTAAACACAGACCAAGACTCCCAACCAATCAGGATGAAGAAAAAACCATTCTGGCACAGCAGTAGGCTAGCCCCAAATTTAAAACTGAAACCACTGTAAAAGTCTGACTCACAGACTAACACAATACAGAAGCCTGATGATGGCAGATGAGGAATTGCCTCAGGGAATAAGCATTTGATAAGAAGGCAACTTGTTTGCTTTTATAGCCATGTTCTGCCTTACTCAACAGAGTTGATTTCCTGTGTCCTCCTTCTGGCAGAAAACAAACCAGGGAGTGGAAAGAGAGATTCTGAATTTGGGAAAGGTGGACTAAATCTACACAATGTTAAAATTTAGCCCCAGCAAATTAATAGCATTATCATTTTACCTGCATCACTAAGACTCAAAAACAGCAGAGGTGTTGGCTACTATGATTTATAAGTCTGCAGCTCAGTGGCTAAATTTGTAGAATTCATGTGATTTACTCGTTCTCATTTCTGGTATTGCACACTATATGCAACGGTAAAACACAGCTGTCTAGTTTGTTGTGTGCTGTGTGAACACAGGTACCGTGTTGTGGGAACCAACCCATTAAGCTGATTCTCTGAACCATGATAATTGAAACCACGGATTAATATGCTGTATGGCTTAGCCAACTAATTACGGGGCACATTCGGCCCGTGTTAATTTATGGCTTCAACCTGTCTCAATTCCAGAAAGTTAATTAAGTACATTATGTGAACACAGCCAGCATATTTAATATGCAATCATGCAACTCCCAAACATCAGATTTTTATCCCGAAGTAAACACACATAAACTGAGGTTCTTAACTTAAATTCCTGAGATGTTGAAATTCAGCAACTGCGTAGTCCCGCAACCTGTGCTATGCACCATCTTTTTAAAGGGAATAATTCATAGAAGAGTCTACAGGAGTGAGGCAATAGCAAGTTTATCTTTGCTTTTTATTAAGCTACTTCAATCCTCCCCCCTGCCTTTAGGATATTGCTCCTCTGCTGCCACCAGGACAGGGGAGAGGAAAACCAACAGAAAGCAAAGGACCACTAAACATGGCTGCATGCGGCCAAAAACAGGTTTCCAGGATCACGAACCGCGCAGGCCAAAACTCTGACCTGGCGTGAGGGGGAGGGGCGGGTCAGGGCAGGGCAGTAATTGGATCGGGTTAGGATGGGCGGGGCCCGCTCTCCTCGCGGCGGCTGCCGTTGCATGCGCGTGGTGAGCGCTGGAATGCGCGGCGCCGTTTCGCCTGCCTTCGCCGTCGCCCTCCCCCTCCCCCACCGCCCAGCAGACGAGTCTCCCCGCAGGCCCTTGACTCCCTCTTGGCCCGCCCGAGGGGCTTCCCAGGCGAGCGCGAAGAAGAGGGAGGTGAGGAACCCCCGGCCGGGGCTAGGAAGGCGGGAAGGCGGGTGGTGGTGGTGGGGGTCCGTTGCGCTGGCGGTAGAGGAACGCGGGAGCGAGCTTGTGGCGCTGTCCAGGGCTGATCTGGAGGAGGTTGTTAGTGCTGCTGCCGCTGCTGCGCATGGGACGGCGGCGGAGGGGGTGGAGTGAGCGGGTGGGGAAAGCCGAGCCGAGCAGGCGGGGAGGACTGGCGAGCTACGGGGCCTCTCAGGAAGGAAGCCCCTGGAGGAGCTCCAGAGGAAAGGTCTCCCTCTCGCCGGGGAGGCTTGCCACCCCGGCTCCCCCCCTCTCTCACCACGGGCCGTTATTTCCTTGCTGCAGGAAGAAGGGAAGGAAGTTTGGCGGGGAGGAGCCGCCTCCGCTGTCGTCTCCCGTGCTGAGAGTTGCCGAGGAGGCCGCAGCAGCAACAGAAGCAGCCGCCCTACTTAGAGCTGGACAGCGATTTCTCGCCGTCCCCGCTTTCGGGCCCCTTCGCCGTGAGCTGTAGGTCGAGGGTGCGTGTGTTTATGTATGTATGGGGTATGTGTGTGTGTGTGTGTGACCTTGGGCTCTGCGTCCTGCACGGATGGAGAAGCCGAGAGGCGTTTTGGCACTGTCGCCGCCGCCGCCGCCTCCTCGGCCCCTCGGAGGTGTGAGTGGGCCTCGATCGTCTTCGCCCCGCCACGCTTTCCCACCAGGGCAGATCCATGGTCCGCTTCTTTTTCGCCTTCCGGAGCGGGGGAGCCCCCTTGATCTCCTCGACCCACGCCCTCCACCTCGTATGTGATGGGGGGGAGGGACGGGGGCGAAGAGTCGAGGAAGATTCTAGGTTCAGGGTTAGGGGTGGAGAGGGGTGGTTCTGGGGATTTTGCGGGGTGGGGAAGGAACAAGGGAAGCAGCAAGGCACGAGCCAATTCCCCCATTTTCTTCGGTTCGGGAGCTACTTCAAGGAGGGAAGGAAAAGGGGGGAAAAAAAAGTCCCCACCCGCTTTCGCTGCCGCCTTAGGTGGGGGCGGGCGGGCGGGCGGGCGAGAGAAAACTTGGGCAAATCTTCTTCGTCTTCCGTGACTTTTCTGGGAGCCCGCTAGAAAGTTGTGGAGGAGCTGGAACTTTGGGAGGAAGGTTTAAAGCAAAAAAAAAAAAAAAGGAGGAAAGGAAAAGTGGTAGATGATGCATCTATCGCGAGCTGTTGGAGGCCTTGAGTTGGCTGAGTTTGAGTCTCTGGTGCAGGCAAGAGTTTTGTAAAGAGAACTGTGCTTTGTGCTCCTACTTGGTATTTGAGAAAATGGCCGAATGCCTATTTCTGGAATGCAACAGCCGCCGCTGCTGATGGTTGGCTGGGCTGGCAATATACATTCATTTAGTGAGGGGCTTTTTAAAGTGCAAAGTTTTGGATGTTTATCCATGGTCCTAACCTTGCGATTCGTTTATATATTTGCAGGGGGGGAAACACACTTGGTGGGGCTTCAAAATCAGTTTTATGTAAAATCTGACTTGAAGGCCCCAAAGATTGATGCTCTAATTAAAATATGCTTTTTGGCTTTTGAAAGCTTTCAAATTGAAATATGGTTTGCTTCCTCTGCTAAGAAGCAATTTCAGATATAGATCTGAGAATTACTGATCTTTTTATGTTTAGACCAGAGCAAGCAAGCATATGTAAATTAAAATCACCCCATGCTGTTAGTTTAATTTCAAGACTGAATAGCCCACCCAGCAGGATTAGGAGTGGAGTAACAAGGGTTTATGTATTTAATTAGAATCTTACCAAGTACCTACTGGTTTAAATTTTTGAAAATAAATTGATCAAATATGATTATCAAATATTCTTATTGATGTGGATTCCTACATACTGTAGTACCGGTAAGAATATAATAATGTAGTCAGGGAACATTAATTTTCAGTCATTTAATAATGGTTGTGTTCCTATAACATAGTGAACAACAAACTAACGTGACACATTTTAACCAGGTATTTTGTGCGAACTCTGCCTGAGTTGTTTGTTAATGGTTCAGTGAGTTGTCCAACCACAGAAAATTAGATTAATTCCATAAAATCCTGTGCAAACATAGTAAGTGGCTATGAGGTTTTGTTTTTATTTTATTTTATTTTATTTTAGGCTAGCGTGATATGCAGATAAGACCATTATGGTTTGTGTAACAACTATAGTTAAAAATTCTGGCTTAGCATATGTGAACCCAGTCAGTGTTTTAAAAAGTTGCATAGGGCCTTATTTCCAATTATATTGCTTGAAATCTAATTTCAGTGACAATATATAGTGCATAATTACATTTTTACACCTTAATAGAGACTTTATCAAATTTGTCCGTGTGAACTGATAATTGTATTAAATAAAATAAATAAAATACAGAGCAGAGCACTTAACAGAGCAGTTAAGTTTGCCTGATAAAAGTTAACTTCTAAACAGGCATGATTCAAGATAAGTGAAGAATCACAGTTAACAAATGGACATTCTCTGGAACATTCTTTTTAATTGGCTCTTCTCTATGACCTTTATTAATCATTTTTTAGATTATTTGTCCATTCTCTACCAGTAGAAGTTTTTTGCAATTGAAATCTGAGGTATTAATATAAGTTTGAAATATACATACATCTGTGCAGGAACATATATGCGTTTAATTCAAGTGTCCTAGGTTTCTACTATATTTAATGGAAATAGCCTTAATTTGGTATAGATGTCATTGATAGTCATAGTGTGTCTTTCTGTTATGTGCAAAAGAGGTATACTATGGTTTGTTTCCAAATTATATCTCAAAAATGTGGTTTGTTAATTTATCGATTGTGTCTTGGTTTATTTGAAGAATTTGAATATTTGAAGAGGCACACATGTTTTTAGTTTCTGAGTCTTTTATGGATTGTTTTGTAATAGGTTCTAGCCAAATTGCAAGGTGTAAGGAAATAGTAACTGAAAACTTGACACAAGGTTAGTCAAACAATATGTTTACTTTACTAGTTTAAATGGGTCTTGCTTCTGGCTTGTTCAACCAATTGTGATTACATCAATTTATTTGGTGCTGCAAATTAAGTCTGTTTTAAGGTGTTCACAAATTACTCTGTATCTTACGAAATAAAAGGAGTGACCAATTTTGTGTGATCCTATATAATTAATTTACTGAAAAAGATGATTTCAATACTGTATGGATTAATCAGCTTGATTTTAAGATAAATTTAGTTAGATATGTTGTCAGTAACACTGCAATCTTAATCAAATTGTCCTTACTATAGTATATTGCCTGAAATATTTTTTTGCTTTGTAGAATATAACTTCTCTATAAAAATGAAATTTACTCAGATTTCTTTTTTTTTTTTTAACAGAATTGTTGTTATGGCAATGCAAGTTTTGGGGCAATCTGGTGGCAGCAGCCTATTTTCTAGCAATACTAACCTTAACATGGCACTGTCAAATGACATGTATGACTTTTCTGAACTTTCCAAAGCTGAATTGGCAGCACCTCAACTTATTATGCTGGCGAATGTGGCTCTGACAGGAGAAGTTAATGGCAACTGTTGTGATTATATGGTTGGTGAAGAGAGGCAAATGGCTGAACTGACAACGGTGGGTAACACCAATTTTTCAGACAGTGATGGAGAAGGAATAGATGATTCACAAGAAACAGAGAATGATTCTGAAGGAATAGAAGATATGGATATAGAGGATCACAATGCGGAAACAACTGGACTATCAGAGTCTACAATTCCTCACTCTTGTAATCAAGAAAAAGTCTTTTCATTGGAAGCACCAGATGCTCAGGAGAGCGTAGATGACAAATGTAAGGGTTTGAAGAACAAACCATTTCGTTGCAAGCCATGCCAGTATGAGGCAGAGTCTGAGAAAGAGTTTGTCCATCATATTCGGGTACACAGTGCCAAGAGATTCATTGTAGAAGAAAAAGCTGAGAAACATGGCCAGGTTAAAGAAACTGACTCTAGCATTACAGAGGAGGTTGACTTTTCTAAGGGGCCTATAAGATGTGATCGCTGTGGCTATAACACTAACAGATATGATCATTATGTGGCTCACTTGAAGCACCACAACAAAGCAGGAGAAAATGAAAGAGTCTACAAATGCACTATCTGTACATATACAACAGTCAGTGAATATCATTGGAAAAAGCACCTAAGAAACCATTTTCCACGAAAAGTATATACATGCTCACAGTGCTCCTACTTTTCAGATCGGAAGAATAACTACGTGCAGCATATTCGAACTCATACAGGTATTGTATTGTACCTTACATTTTGAAGTCTGTTAATGAATTGTAATGAGCTTGTGCCAAACTTGCTTATATTTGTGCTTGTTTATCGTAAGATAAATTGTAATGGAAAGGTTTAACATTTCATTTTTTTGAAATATGTGGTCAGTTATGAACATCATATGCTGATTCTTGCTGATATGCTGTGATTAATGAACAAAAAAATAAAGCAATTTAATAGATTATATTTGCAATATTCACCCCATCAGACTAACAGCACTCCAGATGTGCTTTATAGATAGAATCCTCTGGAGTAGATTTGACGGTGACCGATGGAAAAAGGGATATCTCTCATTGTGAATGGAAGCGATTCCAATACTTAATGTAGGGAAAATAAAATTGGGCACCTACCAGGCATACTGCGTTCCTACTGAAAGCTATATAGTACATTTCAGGACCACTTTGTTCTGGAACAGCCTTTCAATTTAATGCAGCATAACTTATTCCAGAGCAGTCAGTTTATATAATATTTATTGTACATACTATAGTTTGCAATACATCCTTAATGTAAAATGTTATGGTTTCTAAATTAGAGGATATTTAGGATTGGACCAACTTTAGAAAAACAATTGCAACAGCTGTTAACTAAATGGGATGTTCTGAAAAATCAAAGTGGTAGTCATGGCAGTATGATTGAAACCTTGCTCCCTTTTGTATATATGTTTTCACATCCTTGTACAAATAGGTAGAGCTTTGGTTGCATTGCTACTACTGTCAGCAATGCAACCAAAACTTGACGTTTTGGACTACCCCCATGGACGCCAATATTGTAAACTTCCAGAAGTATTAAGATGGAAAAAGAATGATGGACATATTGAATTAAGCTTTAAGTTGATCCAGCAAATTGTAATTGGTTTAGGTTTAGGTTTGTTAAGGTCAGTTGCTTTGAAATAGATCATTCTTTATTCCACTAATACTAATAACTAAGATTTAAAATATTTTAAAAGGGAAAATGTTTGGTGGTTAGGTAAAAATCAGCATTTATTGACCTTGCATATTTTGAGGGACTTTTAATACATATTAAGATGATTTAAAAAAAATTAAACTTTAACTTTACAATTTTTAAAAAACTTAAGTCAGTTTCCTTAGTTTCAATTGGGAATTCAAGATCACCAATGAATTTGAGTAATGGAGAATTCAGAACACATGAAAGGAAATATTTCTACATGGCACATAGTAATTTGCTGCCACAAGATAAGGTGATAATATTACTTTGGGCAGTTTTCATACTCCTAATTCATCCATGTAGATGTGCTAATAACCCTATGCCAAGATATGGAAGCCTTATGAGGATAATATAAAGTGAAGAGCCCAACATTACATAATAGACAACATTCAAAGAGCTGTTGAGACTGTCTAGATACCTCATTATCTTTTTTCGTTCTGGCTCTTTTTTCCTATTGCAACAAATAAATAGATCATTGTGATTTTACAACTGTTATACAATACAAGTAGTCCTCGACTTACAACAGTTCATTTAGTGACTGTTTGAAGTTACAACAGCCCTAGAAAAGTGACTTATGACAATTTTTCACATTTATGACCATTGCAGCATCCCCAGGGTCATGTGATCAAAATTCAGACGCGTGGTAACTGATTCATTTATGACGATTACAGTGTTCTAGGGTCATGTAGTAACCTTTTGCGACCTTCTGACAAGCAAAGTCAATGGAGAAGCCAGATTCACTTAACAGCTGTGTTACTAACTTAACAACTGCAGCAATTCACTTAACAACTGTGGCAAGAAAATTCATAAAATGAGGCAAAATTCACTTAATTGTCTCACTTAGCAACAGAAATTTTGGGCTCATGATATAAGTCAAGGACTATCTATAATTGTTACCCAGCCACTTAACAAGCAAAGGGAAAGCTGGATTTCCTTAACAACCAGAAAGTCGTAAAATGGAGCAAATCTCACTTAACCAATTTCTCACTTTGCAACAGAGCTTACCTTGGATAACTTGCGGTCATAAATCAAGGACTACCTGTACCAGTTGGGCATTTTGTAGGTGTATTTTATTTAATGCTACAGAGTAAGCCAGTAGGTAAAGTACATCGGAAGTATATTAGAAGAAATAAGGGGAAAGAATGAAATTGCAGTGTTCTTTATAAATGAGCTTTGAAGAAACTTAAATTATTTAAACATTTTAAATAAAAATGCAAGTTTAAAATGTTTTCTAGATATTTTATCTCAATTTGCTTATTCTTGTATTTCATATCAAAACTAATCACATTTAGTCCCACGCATATTCTTCACCTCCTACCTTTGATATAAACTCTTTGTCCCCCCCCCTCTGTGTGTGTGTGTACACAAACATATGTACATAATGATATAAATTAGATTTATACATTTATCTGACGTTACCTTTAGTTGTAACTGAGATATAACCTATCATCTTTAACTCAATTGATACAAAGCTTTACTTTCCACTGTTCATTGGTTTTATTATTGTATTTGTTCATTGAAGAAAATATGATTGCTTTATAATTTGAAATAAATAGGATATATTCAGTATTCAGAGTCATGAAAATATTGTTTCTTATGAGTCACTCTATAACTCAAATCCATTCTCAGTTTCTATCAAGTTCTCTGGTATTCATCTCACTTGCAGTAGTTTAGAAGAATTAAGATAACAAAGGGAAAGTCTTTTTGTACTGGGAAGTAAGAGTTTTGTTTGATATAGGAACTTATGATCCTAGAACAATCCCTGTTTTCCCCAGTTTTAAAGCAGCAGGCTAGGGCAATTGTGCAGTGATTTTCACAGTCTCCGTCATTCTAAAGTTAGGAAAGGAAGGGTGATGATTGCTGGTTAGTCATGTTATGGCTGTGAAAACTATAATGTGTAGGTGGGAGGAAGGGCAGTTGGAAGCTTCTGGGGGAGAGTATTTTCTAACAGCTCTTGCTCAAGCAAGAGAATGACTTTTTAGGTGAAATATGGCAGCTTATGATAGGATCATTTATGTTTGCTGTATTCGCCAGCTATGCTGGACACTGGCAAAATAATTATGACCCAGTACAGTGGTTTAATTTTCGATGACAACAGATTTTATATTTGATGTAATGCTCTGTTTTCACAGGCGAGCGTCCCTATCGATGTTCTATGTGTCCTTATTCGAGTTCTCAGAAGACTCATTTAACGAGACATATGCGTACTCATTCAGGTTGGTAAAAAACAGTTCAAAAGAGTTAAGATGGTATTTCAGTTACATGCAGGTTGCAGGCAGCATTTCACAGAGTTTTCGATATTAAACTGTTAAGTGCTGAAAACTAGCAATGCAGAGCTTTATGAGCCAAGAAAAAAAAAAAAAGCAGGCTGTTATTTTGTGGTGCTAATTTTTGTTAAGTGTTACATATGTTTGTTGATGTTCAGATATCAACAATCAGACATCTTTCTACTTAGGAAGATAAATGTTAATTCTTGGTTAGATGTAAAATTCAGTTTACATTATTCTTATTTTCTCAAATCCTACAGGAAATTATATTCACTATTTTGGGATCTATTCAGTTTTATATATTTTATGCATCAGAATACATAAAGTGCTTTCTAAAGTGGGAAGGTGATAGACATATTTTGTGCCTGCATCTGTTTCTGAGTTCTTTAAGATGCTTTCCTATATTTACAAAGACTTTTTAAAGGAATTTTTATGCTGTTTATATTTTTAAAAATGTGTTTGTTCAAAATTCTAAATCTTGGATTACTTTGATTAAAGTAAGGGCTAGCAACTTATCAGATCTCTGGTCCTTCCAAAACTCACTTAAAGTCTTAAAGGCTTGCCAAAGCTTGTAAATTTTTAGTGATTTCTGAAAATAATTCTATTTTAATTCAGTTCAGGTTTTGGGAAGCCGTGGTTATCATGTAGATTGTTGGAAGATCTGATATTTGAGGGTATACCATGTTGCTGACCTTATCTAAAATTACATATTGTAGTATTATGTATATGAATTGATTACACTGTAAAATAATGCCTTATTGAAAAGGTCTTCTGAAGGAAAAAAAGCTATTATAGACACAGTATAAAAGTAACAGTTGCTGATGCAGCAGCAACAGCTTCTGTAGCCTGGCCCTTAGATTTTTTGCTGACCACACATCCTTTGTTTTTGGTCTTATTGACTCTTTGGAACCTGCAGTTTGCTTTTTAGAGTAGGAAGGCAATCCATTATATAGAGATGCTGTAATCATCATCTCTTAGCTGTGCTGTTATAGCATTGAGTGAATGGTGTATGTGTGTGTGTGTGTGTGTATAAGTGTGTGTGTTTGTGTGTAGCATGCTATCTGTGATATGTGTAGTAGCAGCGCAAAAAGGCTTAAGCCCCTTTTTTCCATTTTGGCACATAGAAGAGAGTTGGTGATCTCTGCTACCTCTCACTATCAAGTTCCCTAAGCTCAGTGTAATCCACAATTCATTAGGTAATATTGCAACCCTGCTTCACCAGAGCCTTTGTGCATATCTTCTGAAGCTCAGGGTTAACTGCAAAGAATGCTCCTGAGTCTGGATCAGTGAAGCCCTGAGTGTAGAGCTTGCTTAGTGGAATACTAGTTTTGGGGACCAGGAAGGAAGCCAATTTGAAGCCTGTGAGCAATATTTGAAAACTCTTATTGCCTCATTTAAAGGATGTTTTTTGAACGTTGATGTTGTGTTTGTACTTATATGTGTTTTCTTTTGGGTTGTCTGTCACTCAGCTAAATATACAACAGTATTGATAGCTGAAATCTATGCCCAAAATTAGGGCCATTGTAGTACTTCTACAGCCATGTGATGAAAATTCAGGCACTTGGCAGCCTGCCCATACTTATGACTGCAGAAGTGCTTCAACTTCCCCCTATGCTCTTTTAGCTCCCTACATTCTGTGGCTCCTGCTGCCCAGCTAAGCTTTGCCATTTTCTTCCTTCTGCTACTGACCAAGCACACTCAGGCTGGCCTTTGTGAGGAAGCTGCTGACTGCACTGTATCTTCTAGAGGCCATGTGTGGCCTTCTCCAAATCATCTGTAGCCTTGTGAGGTTTTGAACCCTTCCAAAGCCTTGCGAGAAGGCCATAGGTGAGCTGGCAAGGCTGCATGCTGTTTGGAGAATAGTGCAAGTGGCCTTTGGAAGAAGGCGTACTGTGGCCAACAGCAAATGGCCAGACTGGACATGCCTTGTCAGCAACAGGACAAAGAAGACAGTGAAGATCAGTTGGCATAGTGAAATATAGGGCAACAAAGGTCTTCTTAGGGGCGGGGGAAGGAACGACGACAGCTGCTTTTCTCTACCCTGTTGGAGTTTCCTGGGCATTGGATGTTTCCCTGGATGTTTAGTGCATCCTAAATACTGGCAGTCCACTGTGGACACTTCCTGGGCATTTAGCACTTCCCAAGATGTATTGCCTTTACACCACACTGCTGGGCCAGGCTGTGTGACTGAGGGTTCCAGGGGTGGCTGTGGCTTCTTTCCCTGGCCTCCCTGTAATCGCACTACACTAAACACCCTCCCACAATTGCATACGGCCTGTCTTGGGCCTCTTAGGGCCTCTCCCAATCCCCGGAGGGCCGCCCCCCCCCCCCCCCCCCCCCCCCGCATCTACCTGAAGCACCCTCTACTTAATAACCGGTGGTTCTCGTTTAATGATGGCATGTGACATCTCATTTTATGACTACTTCACTTCCAGTTCAGTTGTGGTGTAGGTTGAAGACTATTTGTATGGACTTTTACTTGTAGCAATTTATTGTAAACATTCCTTATTGTTCCTTCAATTTGCTTTGTTCAAATGTGGGTGTTATTGTCTAATTGGGACAATAGCACTAGAAGAGTGATATAAGCACGCTTGAAGGAAACTGAATTTGCATAAATGCAAAACACAAACCCATAAACCCTATTCAGTTTGCTCAGCTACATAATTTTGGAAACATTTTGAAACTATATGAAAGTTAAATTGCAGCAGCTATTCATCATCTTTGCTCAGAATATTAAAGTAAGATACACTGATTTCCAAACTGTTGGATTTACATTCTAAATATTATATTATGTTGCCAGGGGGTGGGATGGGGAAATTGTTATTTCTTCATGAGAATATATTTTCTTTTGGGGTATGTATAATAATTGTGTACGATTATTCATCTATAATTTCCATTTTTCTACATTGCTTTCAATGGACCAGTTTGGTTTGGATTCCAAATGCTAATAATACTGTAGAGTGATCTTCTGGTATGTATATAACATAGATGGAATGTCTAATGATTTCTTGCATGGTTGTTTTCTTTCTTGTATTTTGTTGCTTTTTGTGAACCTGTTAAGTGGAAAATCAAATTATTCTTAAATGCAAGAAGTTCAGTAGCATGATGAACTGTATAAATCTATAGTTGTAAATAATTTGTGATTTTTAATATAATGGTTAGTAATTGCTTCTTCCTTGCTTTAGGTGAGAAGCCATTCAAATGTGAACAGTGCTGCTATGTGGCATCAAACCAGCATGAAGTGACTCGACACGCAAGGCAGGTTCATGATGGGCCCAAACCATTGGCTTGTCCCCACTGTGATTACAAAACAGCTGACAGAAGCAATTTCAAGAAGCATGTGGAACTCCATGTCAGTCCTCGTCAGTTCCTCTGCCCAGTTTGTGAATATGCTGCATCTAAGAAATGTAATTTGCAATATCACATCAAATCCAGGCACCCAGACTGCTGTGATATCACAATGGATGTCTCAAAAGTAAGATTAAGAACTAAAAAGAACGAAGTTAACACTTCTGAGAACATTAACACTGAGAGTAAACTAGAACAAGAACAAACAAAGAAAGAGTTGATTGAAAAGAAAAATGAGAGAGTTGTAAAGGAAGAGAAGAAAGAGAGTTTGTCAAAAGACAAGAAACCAACTAGTAGTGCGAGTGTAGGCCAGATCACAACAAGAAGCCGCAAAATAGTTGGTGAAAGAAAGGAAGAAAATGTGAAAATTGAAAAAACTAATAAAACTAAGAAGGCAAAAAGAAAAGCAGAGAATAGCTCTATTTCATTGACAAAAGATTTATCAACAGATATTGATGTAATAGTGAAAAAGAAAAAGAAAACTGAAAAACTATCACCCAAGAGTCAGGGTGAAAGCAAATTGGAGGTGACCAAAAAGTCAAATTCTTGCCTTAAGAAAAACAAAAAAAAGAAATATTTGAAGAATAAAACTGCTAAGAACAATAACAGTTCCCATAACAAAAAGAGCTCAGATGAAGCTTCTGTTCATAAAGAATGTTTTCTTATCCATGAAAGACAAAGGAAGACATCTGATACTGCTAGTGAGCAGGAACCTGTGCTTCTCATTGATGGAGAAAATCAATTTGCACCTGAAAATGACATACATCAAGAGCTACATGAACAGCAGGTAAACACAAATATGAAAAACCAAGAAATATGTATAGGACAAGAGGAGATTGCAAAAGATGTTTCAGAGAATAACACTGAAACAGTACTGGCAGTTATGCCTGGGACCAGCTCTGTGGATTCAAATACCACCATGGAAAAAGAAGCAACGGACATTTTACCAGATTTATGCCAAGATATTCCAATGGCACAAACCTGTGAGATGGAAAGTGTGACTGATCCAGATTTAGTACAAGAAATACGGTCAGTGCAAACAGGTGACAAAGAGATAATGAGTAAAGCACATCAAGAAGATGTTTGTTCTACAAAACAATTACAGGATGAAGACCCAGCAGGAGCTCAACCTCGCCAAAATCCAGAAAAACTTGAACACAATACTGGAGCAGATTTGGCTTCATCATCACCAAGTAGCACAATAGTGAATGAAAATCAGGATGTGGAAGAGGATGAAGGTATCCATAGTCATGATGGCAGCGATATAAGTGACAACATATCAGAAGGCAGTGATGATTCTGGATTAAATGGTGCTCGGACGGCCCAAGAAAAAACAGGTCAGAAATCATCCCAAGAAGTAACAGAGGCTAAGCCTACAAAGGAGAACTATGTGTGTATATTTTGTGACCGGTCATTTAAAAAAAAGGGTGAATACAGTAAGCATCTGAATCGACATTTGGTAAATGTATACTATCTTGAGAAAGCAACAAAAGAGCAAGATTAACCAAACACAGTTTAATGACAATTTATTCCTTTTTTGTAAAATCTTCTAGAGCTTAGGTACAGTTCTTGTAGAATCTTTGCTTAAGCTCAGTTTGCTTTTACTATTAAGTTGTTGGTTGGTTATTTCCCCCGACCTTTGAACAAAAGTTGAACTAATTAACTATTTGTTTCTCTTTCATTAGAGAAGGCAAATGGGATATGAAAAGTTGTGGCTTGCAAAGCTGACAAAAGTCCTTGAGATAGATCCCTTGAATCACTTGCATGTTACTGTTGACTTGCAGTAGATATATATGTACAACTTCATAGGTTTAGGAATGGACAGCCCAGGGAAACATTCATGGGAGTTGCTCCTGTACAAGCTCTTTAGGAATGAGCTGAAAATGCTTAGAAGTTTGCAAAACCAATGTCATGTTCTTGCAGAGGTCTGTTTATTTTCATAGAGCTTGAACTGTAGATGGTACCAGTTGATTAAGTCCCAGGTCTGTGCCTGTACATTTAAAAAATCGCAAGGAGAAAGTTTAATCTGAAAAAGTCTCCGGCATATTCTATCAATCTCTCTCCCTTAATAATTGGAGAAAGTAAAATATCACTCAGAATTTATTTACTTCAATGATCATTTGGTCTAGAACTCCTTGAGTCCCATTTATGCACACTTGCTACAGTATGGAATTATTTCACTGTCATGCAGTTCTGTGCCATTGCAATAGGTGAGCACAAGAACTACGTGGATAAGAACAATTGTGTACATCTGATATGTCACATGTGTCCATACGTTTCTGATTATCAGAATACTTGCCAGTTCCTAAATGGGGATGTTCTAGATATAGATTGTGTGGTCAGGGAAGCACCAATTTTAATACATTAACAGCTTATTCCATGCAGAACCTCTTCATTGAAAAGGTGAGCATGAATTTTGGATACAAAATCCTGACGCTGTTTATCCATGGTTAAACTCCTTGAAAATTTGCCCAGTACACAGGCCATCTTTGCTAACAAAGTTGTTATATAAATGGAATCTTAGAAATAAAAAAAAATACATAACTTTGATACTTCTAGTAGAATCTTTTGATTCTTGTTTATCTTAATGTGTTGGTAAGGCTTAAAAAACACAGCTGTACAAGAAACACAATAGCTTATTTTGTAAAAAGAGCACTTTTGGGGAAAAATGAGGTTCACTAGCGGTAAAAAAAAATTCATGAACGTATTTTTAATTTGCATATACATTTCAGGTCCCCCAATCATGATCAGCAAGCCAAAATCTTGAAGTTCTTTCCATCTATTGATTGGTGAATCCATAATTTGGTAAATACTTCTTTAAAACAAGGTCATTTCTTTTTGTGCTTTAAGATGAGAAAAATGTTGCACATAATTGTTTTATTTTTACCTATGCAGTTTAAGTCTTTAGGAGTTTAGTATTTTTGTTGTATATGTACATTTTATATATGCATGTTTAGTTTTGTTAAATCAGTTTCTTCCCTTAATGTTGACACTTTCAGATTTGTTGCTTATCATGGCCAGTATTGTCTGCTTCTTTTGACTATAACTTTCTGATTCTATGTTGGTTGATAATCTATAAAATTTCTACTACTTTTAATTATATCATTTTGGACAAATATTTCTGTACGTTTCTGATTTAACTGTTAAAGAGTTGCACAAATAAGTCACGAGTTCCTACCGTATTAGCTTCAATTGAACTGTGCATGATGTCTTTATAGGGGATGTTCTCTAATGAAAGTTCGGAACTTATCCTCCTTTTAAGAAGGCTATTTAAACTTAAATCCATAATATATAAGTTTCCATTTAGAAGAGCTTTCTTCATTAGAAAAATTATGGATCCAGCCCATTGTTATTTGTATATATTCTGTTTTAATAATACTTCTTTTTTGCATTATAGATATTTTTGCCATGCCCCTGCTGGGGAAAAATTAAAATAAATACAATATATTTGTCTGTCACCTGTTTCTTTTAGAGTGACTTATGTGAGATCTTTCTTGGTGAACTTAAAAGTATTAATAGAGGTACTTATTTGGGTTTAAGACATTGCTAATTATAAATGAAATATCCACTGTATTGCATAATTTACATAAAAGTGAATGGCTTGGATCATAGCTCATGTTACTTTATGCTTTTTCCCAGTGTGCATTTATTTCAGTGAGCGTGAAATTGCCTGGATAGAACGAAATTGCTCATTTCATAGTTCATAAATCAGAAAAATCCTGATAAGCAACAAACCTTGAAAATGTCAGTTGTAAAAATTTCAATTTCCTTTAAATCAAGTTCTAAGCATCCTGATCCTCTTTAAAATTCACATAAAGAGAAATTGAAATGATCAGATATCTGAAGAATAAATATTCAGGCACAGGGAGAGAAGCACAATTTTATTTTAAAGACTTTATTAACAGGTAACATTTGCTTGAACTTTCTGAAAACACAGTGAAAAGCTACAGATAGCAAAACTGAGCATGCAACCTGTTCATTTTCAAATAATTCTTGTTTTTGTAAATTTATAGGTATAAGTGTGCTTTCCAAT